AGGTGCTTACATGTTCATAGGTAAGTGTCCAGATGTACAGTGCATTTCAGCAAGATTACCATTAACTCCAAAAGCCACATAGACAAAGCTTCCATTTTCTGCTTTATGATATTGTTCTTCTAAAATAACACACCATGTTAATTTCACCATGGAAACAATTGCTCACCATAGATTCAGTTTCCCTCAGGTTCCTGCAAGAATAATGCAGAGTGCCTTAATAGACAAGACCAAGTGAGTCATTTCAACACAACTCAAATTGCCTCCCTCTCCTATTTGAAATAATGGCAGAAATTTAGCAGCAACGAAAGAACCTTTGAGATGAGAAGGTCAGTCCAACAGCACCCACTTCTAAGCAACAGGTAAAAATCCAAAGATTGGCAGATTTAATGCAATGTAGTTAACCTAAGCAGAATCAAAATGCCAGATTTTAATTCTGAGCTACAACAACTTTCAGTGACCCTGACAGGGTTGACTAATTCAACAATATATGTAGGACCACAGGATCTTTAGCCCTAATATGGAGGTTCACATAATTAATATTACCCATTCACATACATTTTCATAACTTTGTCCATAAGGCAGTTTACACTTTCAAAAACTTTAAATAATAGTGCAATGCTGTATAAATCTATTCAGAATTGGTTCCCCTTAAATTAGGAAAGGCTAAGTCTTAGCTATCCCAGAAAGCTCTAAAAATCCAGCTTTTCCAGGGAATGATTTGTGATTGATTCTAGAGGCACCAATATATTATTTAGTTTTATTATTCTTACATTCTGTTTATCTTTTATGTTACTGCATTGATATAGTTGGTCGCAAATGGTTAAGATGCTGGAAAGCCGGCAGCCTAGGTTTGAGACACAAATGCCACATGGCACGGTGAGCTCCTGTCCTCAACCCAGTTCCTGCCAAACTAACAGTTTGAAAACATGCAAACATGAGTAGATAAATAGGTAGCACTTCAGTGGGGAGGTAACAGTGCTTTGTGATGTCATGCTGGTCACATGACTGTGGAAATGTCTTTAGACAGCGCTGGCCCAACGGCCTTGAAACGGAGATGAGCACCACTCTTTAAAGTCAGCAACAATTAGTGGAGTAAAATCCATAGGGATTACTTTGCCTTTATATTTGGGCACACAGTCAGCCAGATCTTTAGACTGAATTTGGCATTTTTAACTACCTATTGAGTCCTTCCCAAGAGCCTGGCATAAACAAATGTTGCTTGATGATATTAAGGATATCATTGCTTTTACAGTTGCATTTTTTTCAATTGCCTGATGGTGATTTTGTCAATGCCAATGATTTTCAAATAGTGCTCCAGAAGTTTTGAGATTTCACCCAAGGTGCCTATTACTATTGATATTAACTTTTCTTTCTTTTGCCAGTAGAGAGCTTCTATTTCTATTTGTAATTCTTTGTATTTTGTGATTTGTCTCTAGTTTTCTCTTCCTTTATTATGATGATGATTTGTTGCACAGTCAGTCAGATCGTTAGACTGGATTTGGCAATTTTATCCACCTGTTGAGTTTCACCAAAGTCTGGGTTAGATAAGTTTATTGTTATAGTTGTTGCATTTTATTAAATTAATTAAGAGCAGATTGGACTGGGATGGTGTACAGGTTTCATGAATAAGCAAATGCAAGAACAGTTTTGCGAGAACATTCAGATTAACATTAAAACCATCAAAATGGAAGAGAAAAGACAGAACAATCTATTCTGATTTTAAAATAATTTAAGCATTAACATATTCTTCTAAAAAGGTTGAAGTCATTCACTGAAATTTCTTTCTAAAAAAGCTAACACAAAATGGAACACAAAACTTATCTACACAAATTGGCCTCATGGAAGTTTAATGACCCCTTTAAAGGTGCCACCAGGTTTGATTCAGCACAAATTTAAAGAGAACAGTGGAAGTACTGATCAGTAAGACATTGTGAAACAATTTGTATGGGAAAATTGTAAACAGAATTGAAGGAACTGAAACTCATTTTTACATCCACACATTTTAAAATTGTCTTGCCAGAAAAAAATATGACAGATAAGTCACCAGAATATGGAAAAAAAATTGCCATTGCATCCCAATTTTTTTTCTACTCAGAATACACTTCTTGGCTTTTCAGATTATATCCCATCCAAATTCCAATCATTTCTTATCATAAATCAAATTCACCTAGGTACTGTATTCAGAAATGCCAGAAGTATATTTCTCCAAAGAGCTGTTAAATTCTTCCTAAAACAAGTTTCCAGAATAAAGTTTTTATAATAATTTTTCAGAAATAACATCCAAGAAGCTACAATATTTCACTCTAGAAAGAAAAGTGATGGGGAAAATGAAAGAATTATAAATGGAGGATACTGTCATCAGGACCTCGGATAAAAAAAATTCTGTAAATAAGGCAGATGGATAGATGATCCAAGCTAGCACCCAAAGAGTGCCTTCACACTACACACTACCTTGTCAGTGTTTGGTTTACCATGCTCTTACAAGTCAAAATCATAGTTTACATGATTGATAATATATATTTTGTACATTGTTCTAAGTAACTTTGTTTTAATTGTGCTCTAGTGTGTGACGCTAGTTTATTTCCTTGCTTATAATTAAACACCTATTTATTCCTTTAGGAAAATCTGGGACGTAAGCACCTTACACGCAAGTATTTTTGCTGTTTGCAGCATTTCCGAACAGTGCTCTTCCCCTATGGGTACACAAGTGGCTTCTTTTCTATCTGCAATACAAAGTGTGTCATGATCAAAATTTTGGAAGCATGCTTTTAATTTGGAGAGTCTCCTTTTTAAAAACTGGCAGACCAGTATTTAGATCATTATGTCAACCTTTTAATCTACTTAGGTCAGGAATGTCAAAGCTTAGTCAGGAATGTCAAGCTTAGGTCAGGAATGTCAAAATGCAAGATTTAAATAATTCATTATTTTTTAAAAGATGTGCTATTCTAAGATCAGTGCAATAATTACTTTTCTCCCTTTCCATATTCTTGCACAACTAGGCATATGCCTGACCAACGCTGCCAACTAGATGAAGTGGCAGGTGAAATGCAAAATGGACCTTGTGATATAACCAGTATAACACAAAAGAACAAGCAATGTAAATAATAGAACTTCGAAGTCATTATCTGTTACTCTTATCTGCTTTCCTTGGGGCTGCTTTAGTTGCAGGGAGAGCTCATCCCTTGTGGACTTTCATTCTTCTGTTGGATGTTAAATAATACACAAGGCGAGTCTGTATGTTTGTTTGAAGTCTTCCAGGCTTTGCTTTTAGTAGTTAGGAATAGATTAGAATCCATGACAGAAAGCCACTTGAAGAGACTAGAAGGATTTGAAATCAGTGGTGGGATTCAATTTTTTTTTACTACCGGCTTGGTGGGCGTGGGTAGTCTTATCTTTCTTATCTTCATTTTTAAGTGCTTTGGTTTTATTGTATTGCAAACAGTTGCTGGGGTGCATCCACAGTTTCGTTGTACTTGTACAATGACAATAAAGTTCTAAAAAAAAAACCTCTAAAACTCTATTGATTGCCTTTTGTGACACCTGATGCCCAGAGCTCTTGAGAAGCCCCAAATTGAGAGGTCCTTGGTGCTCTCTGAGTTTGTTTTCTTGCAGACTTTTCATTACCCACACTAGGTAACATCATCAGTGCTAGAGTAAGGAATGGGATTTGCTGTCAGTTTATACTCTAGTGGTTTGCCCTGTCAGTGTTGGTGGGATTGGCCTTGGAGGTCCGTTTGTTGGACTCTTTATGGTTGGTTTCTCCGGCAGTTTCTTAATTGGGGTATTGTTTACTTGACTGTTGGTTTTGATATTAAATCCTGGAGTTATAATCTATGCTGTTCTGGGTGCTGATTGCTGGTGGAGAGGTGCTTGGGTCTTATTGTTCCCTTTTTGGCTGGTGGATTGTTTCTTTTGCAATAATAATGCATAAGCGCACCAACGTGCCTACCGTCCCTGTCCTATTGTTTCTTTTTAATTTTTCTCATATGTATCCATTTCATGTATTCATAACTATGTTTATACTTATACCTATGATCTTGTAAGCGATTGACAAATCAAATCAAATCAATCATCTGTAGATGTTAATGTCTATATATCTGTTGACGGCTAATTTGTCAGAATGCCAGGTTTAGGTCCAAACTCTCCTCAGAGCGACCAGGAGGAAAGGTGACCACGAACTGCCCCCAAACTATCCCGAAGAGCGGGGCTTTCGATAGCCCAACACTCCACCTCATCCCCTCAACAACCACCCCAACCAATACATTTATTCCAGAAGGAAGGAGATGTACCTCATTGGGCGAACGGGCCGCCTCGTTGCCCAATAAGATGGTTGCCTCCGGAAAGGCAAACTATCGCATCTGCCAGTGATATTGCCGACATCCACGGCTCACTACTCCCCAAAACGCAACCTGTGAGAAAGCTTTTTCGCCACGCCCCCTTCCCCCTCCCTCCCTCGCTGACTGATTCCCCCCCTTTTTCGCCCCCCGCCTTTCCCTGACGTTCCGTAAATCTTCACCCAATAATGCGTCCAGACGAAAGAGGGAAGGGGTTAAGGGGGCTGCATCGCTCTCCCCCCGCCCGCTTCCTCTCGCTCGCCTGCCTCCTCCTCCCTCTCCCCCTCCTCCTCCTCTTCTTCTTCTTCTTCTTCTTCTTCCAGCTTTATCATCATGTAGACACCCGGACCCCCTTCCCCTTTTCTCATGGAGCAGGTTCCTTGACGTCAGATCTATGAATATTGCACGGAAAAGCCGGCTTGCGAGAGCTACTATAGCGTCTCGATGTAAGCCAGGGGTCTATCCCGGCTTGGACCGTGGCGGCGGCGGCGGCGGCGGCGGGCAAGAAGAGGCTCTGATCGCCGCAGCTTTGGAGAAGGAAGAGAGCCGGCGGCTGGTGGCCGAAAGCGGGAGAGGAGGTCGGCCGTTCAGCGCCGGCGGTCTTGGCGGCGGCGGCGGCGGCGAGCAGGGGGGCTTGTTGCTGCTGCTGCCGCCGAGAGAGGAAGAAGTGCTGGGCTGCGCGCTCCTTCCCCGGCGAGAGGTGGCCCCGGGGGAATGTGACATCACCGCGCGGGTCTGGGGCAGCCGAGCGGGAAGGCTTCCCGGCAGCGCCCCGGCCTCCCTGGCTAACGCGCTGCCGCTGCCGCCGCCGCCCGCGCCCGCTCCGGCTCCCCACCTCGGCCCCGTGATCAGCATGTCTGCGAAGGAGAGGCCCAAAAGCAAAGCCGCCCCCGTCACCAAGGAAAGCGTCACCCTGTTGCCTTGCTTTTATTTCGTGGAGGTGAGGCCGTCTTGCGCGGTTCGGCTGGAGGGGAGGGGACGGGAGGGAAGGGAAGGGAGAAGGGGGGAAGTCAGCCAGGGGCCTCTGGTCGCGCTGGGGATGCCGCGCTGCCCTCGCGGAAACCCCGGCCTAAAAACGAGCAACCGTCCGGGGGAGCCCACTAGCGGGGCTGCGCGTCTGAGGGACACACGAAGCGCGCCTTATAGCGCCACCGCAGCGAGGGGTGGGGGCGGGGGTCGTGTCAGGATGGGCAGGCGCAGGTTGGAAGCGGCGAGGCAGGTCTTGTCCAACGTGCTCAGCGGGCATCGGCTGAGCGATGGTCTCCCGACCTCGTATTGATGCTGAGAGAAGGGAGGGGAGACCATCTTCCCGAAATCTCCTCAGGGAGATTTTGGTCCCCTCCGAAATCTCCCCATTGGGAAGCTTGGCCGTCCTCGTCCACCTGCCTTGGAAACTCCACCTCCCTCTTTTGTTACGGGAGGGGGAGGAGGGAGCGTTTATTTATTTATCTTTCTTTAGAAAAAGAAAAGAAAAGAAAGAGGAGGGGGGTGGGTTTTGCAAACGCGATGAGATCAGATCACGTGCACGCGGTATCTTCCCAGTGTGGCTTCAGACGAAAGGGGGGGGGGGGGGTTGTGTTGTTTTTATGCCAAGCATTATATGCTTAGCCAAAAGAGAAAAAAAAAAGGAAAAAAAAGATGGGGTCTTAAATAAGTTGGAGGTGGCAAAATCGAAAGTAAATTTATGTACAGATTGTTAAACAATCAGGGTTGAATATTTGGGGATGCTTCAGATATTTGGGGTGCGCTGAGAGTGTGGTTGCAATTTCTATAGGTGGTCAAAGCTACACCGCTTAGCTTCATCCTAGCAACCCAACCAAGTGAGGTGTTATTTTATTCATTTGTTTTGCCAAAGATCTACTGGGGCTCCTGTGTATGTGTGTGTGTGTGTGTGTGTGATACCTTATTTCTGCTGCACAAGCATTCTCTTCTGGTGATGTAATGTACAGGCCTTTGCAGCACAGGCAGACTAGGAATTCAGATTCCCATGTTTATTGAAACAGCTCAGCAAGAGAGCAGAGGTGATCGGGATTGACACCTGGAAGCCGCTCAACCCTTGCCTTCCTTTCCAAAGTTAACTCACAGGGCAACTTAGAAAAAAAGTTCTAAGGAAGCCTTGACTGTGTGCTGTCCCTGTGTGAGTCCCATCAATGGTGCAGGTTGGGGGCTGGTATTCTTGGAAGAAGACCTTTTCGGTGATAGTCAATAGCTGTTTGACACGGACAAGGAATAAGGGATGGAAGCTGATCAAGGAGAGATTCAACCTAGAAATAAGGAGAAACTTTCTGACAGTGAGAACAATCAACCAATGGAACAGAAGTTGCCCTCAGAAGTTGTGGGAGCGCCATCACTTGAGACCTTCAAGAAGAGAGACTGGAGTGCCATCTGTCAGAAATGGTGTAGGGTCTCCTGCGTGGGTGGGGGGAGGGGTTGGACTGGATGACCTACAAGGTCCCTTCCAACTTTGTTATAGTTTGGCTAATACTCTCATCATTGGCCATCAATACCTGAACCAGAGAGTGATTGGTATGTTTGTGAGTTTCAAACAAGGACCGTAGTAACAGTGCTGAAGAAGGATGGAGAGGTGTTGGAAAGTGATGCAGGTGAAAAGGGTGCTTTGAAAATGAATCTAAATAGCTGTGTTACTTTTTAAGAATTGTTCTGAAGTCACAAATAGCATCATACTTGTAAGTACAGGTGTATGTTTGTCTGAGTATGTCTACCTGTTCACCCATGCATCACAAATTTCCAAGATTCCTGAGGTTTTCAAAGGGGAAATTGAGAGGAATGTATTTTCATTCCTTCTCCTCAATCTCTCACTGATTCCTTACAAACGAGAAATACCCTGTTTCTCCAACAATACGGCCTCCCCCAATAGGAAGTCCCAGCGTGTTTTATAGGCATGAAATGAAATTAAGCCCCCCCCCAAATTAAGGCCTATATTAAAACATGCGAAATGGTGGGGAATGGTGGGGGGGCTTGCTGTTAGGAAGTACTTTTGTTGCACACCCGGATATGGTGCTGCCCGCGTTGACCCCGATACGAAGTGCCCCACCAATGCCGAGGTCAACATCCAAGCCGTCATCGCCTGCCCGCCCAAAGATGCGGGGGGGGGGAATTAAGTCACCTCCAAAAAGACGGCCTAGCCATTTTTTCGGGGCTCAAAAAAAAATAAAAAATAAGACCCGGCCTTATTATATAAGAAACACGGTAGAAACTGAACAATTAAGAATCTTCCTGTATTCTGCACTCATCCGCAGTCTGTTTTTACTTTCTTGAGAAGAACATATTTCTACATTATGACTATCATGCACTACCAAAGCTGAGGGGAACATCTGGAAACAGCCGTTTGAAAGGAACTTTAAGGAAGGGTCTCTGGAAAGATTGCTGCTTTGTGAATTTCTAGGTCTGAAGCTCCAGTTCAATGGTCAGAATCTCACATTATAACTTAAAATGGCAGTGTTGAGGGATTTCAAGCTGTCAGGTGCTTTCAGAGAAGAAAATGCTCAAATAAACAGAGCTTAGATAAGTGCAGTTCATTCTTGGTTTCGGGATATTTTTCAAGACCTGATGTAACATGAGTGTAACAATCAAGAGCCATTGGTCCTGACACTTGATATGGAACTAGGTGATATGATGGACATATGGGAATTCAACAATGTGTAAAAGTGCCTATAATTGTTCTATGCTCTCCTAAACAGCAGCAGAGAAGTTCACAGCACTGGAAAATCATTTTCTGTATTTTGCTTCTTTAGGAAAGAAAACAGGGAGATGTGGTTTGGCTTGTTTAATATTTCAAAATACCGTGCATTGAAGGATGTGGCACTCCAGCTGAACTGAAATTTGTCTAAAATGCCTTTTGACTTCATTTAACACACACTGTAATGCACTACATTGTATACATGGAAAGCAAATATTAAAATTTCACTCTATTGCATAATATAAAGAGAAAAAGAAACACAATTGCTAGCTGTTATTTCACAAAAGGCAAGTAGCTCAACAAGGTAGCCAACTAAGAATTTTTGGAGATTGGAAAGTAGCAAAGGAAATACTTTTTTAAAGTGTGCTTGTAGCTAGCCCGGTGCACAATTAACAGTAAAAAGAATGCAAGAGCCCACAAAATAACGTATGCAGAGACGGCAGCATTTTTTTCTGGTTATAATTTTTTATAATAAGTTTTACAAAGGACATAAAAGCTAACACAAACTAATGAATAGTAAGTAAAAGGGGGAAAAGGCAAAAGAGTGGAAAGAAAGAATGAAAAGAAAAAAAGCTTCCAATTTCCTTTGTAGCAAACATATTATTAAATATAATAAATACATTTAAAAAATGTCTCTTACTCTAAGATTATAAAAAGTTCACTTTTTCTATTATCCAATTATGTTTTTGTTTTTCTATCATGAAAAAAGTCTGTAAGAGGTTTCCAGTCAGCCGTAAATGTAGATATTGTTTTTTCTCTGATCAAATAAGTTAATTTAGCCATCTGTGTAAGTTCCACCATCTTCACCAACCATTCCTCCCCTGCAGGCAAGTTTTGAACATATAATAGTCTCATTACCGTTTATCATATATAGAAAACAAGTTCCATGACCTTTTTCTAGTTACCTGTCAATTAGTCCCAAAAGAAAACACCCTGGTTTCATTTGTTCTTTAACCTTGAAAACTTTCTGAATTGATGTATGTATTTCAATCAAAATAGAACTGGTATCCATTTTTTTCCATTGTATCCAATTTTTACCAATTTTGCATGATAAAATGTCCCTTCATGTTCACATTTCCAGCAAGGATTCACACATTCTACACAATTTCTCTGGTGACAAATACCAGTGATGCATCATTAGATTTCCTGTAGAAACAAACCACCCAACCCGCAAGTCCTTCAAGTTTAACACATCACATGTATGGTTTATGAACTTTAAGGTCAAACATCAGGTGAGAGGGCATTTTTCACAAGGACTTTGTTATTTGGATTTTGGTAAACTAAATTTTGATTCCACACATTTATCACTCCTGATTTTTTTTAAAAAAAATCCACTAGTTGTGAGGAAAAATAGTCAACTAGAGTTTATGTATTTAATCAATTTACTTTAGCTGCCCAACTCAACAATAACTCAATGACTAAAGTTCTCTACTGTTTGGAAAAAAAAAAGTGTCCATGAGTCTATTCACAGCCACCATAAATTCAAAATCCTAACAAGTCATTGCCAGAGATGGAGTAAAGCCAACTTTTTCATCATACTTTTCGATTATCTTGTTTGTAAACCACCTAGAGTCACTTAGGTAAGATGGGTGGTGTAGAAATTTGATTGATAGATAAATAAAATAAGCTACTCAATCCTACATTGTCCTAAACGCATGGAGAAATGCTGAACATCCTTAAGCAAAGCAGACTTCATTCTAGAGCAGTGCTGTGAATATGATATCTGTAGGATTCAATGTACTTAAGAATTCTTTCTTAAGCAACCATAAATTTCATGTCCAACTGGGGTTTTTTTTTTGTTTTTCTTAAAGATTCCTTTATTTGTTTTTTAGATTTCCTTAATTAACATGAAATGGACAGTTTCCATATTGGAAAACAAAACATTAGTGTCTAGTACCATTTTTTAATCTCAGGAGCTTGCAACATTCTTAGAACTCTAAATGGTGCATGGTTATATCTTACAGGTCTTTGCTTGGAGGTATAGCCACCAGCTTAGAAGAAAAGAGACAAAGGTGTTATGAGTGAAAAATATTATCCTAGTGCAGGCAATTAAATTTTCCAAGGGACCAGTTGAGAAAATGGGACTGTTGTGAAGGGCCAAACCAATAGTACTGTGAAGGTGTGTTAAGTGTGCACAGGTGCACATACTCAAACTGAAATATATAATAGCAGTCACCTTCAGAATAAAAGCAGTGCAATTATGTGTGTGACATATACTCTTTTACATTTGATTTCTAATT